ATATATATATATATATATATATATATATATATATGCAGTGCCTCGCAAAAGTATACGGCGCCTCGAACTTTTCAACCTTATGCCATTTTTCAGACTTCAAACATAAACATCTAAAAATTTTATTTTGTGAAGAATCAACAAAACGTGGGACACAATCGTGAGGTGGAACGAAATTTATTGGATATTTTAAACTTTTTTAACAAATAAAAAACTGAAAAGTAGGGCGTGCTGATAGATATTTTTTGACAACCTACGTAAAAAGAACCACAGACAACTTATGTGAGTTTTTACCAAGCTTTCATGAAAGGAGAAGATGCAGCGGACCGCTACAGTGAGCTGCCCACCGCATGTTCTGGTAACTTCCAGTTTGAGCTCATCTTTTATTTTCAGAGAAGGGAGAGATAGAAGAGACAAGTTATCAGCAAGTTCTACACATGCAAGGTCATCTCGTCTTTTCCCTTGGGAGTGATTTCTCTCAAGGGCGGAGGGCTGTTGTCAGTGTGAGAAAGTCTTCAACACAGCAGTCTGAAGTTTTAACACAGACAGTGAGAGGTCAACACTTCTAAATGAAAATCACAATAATCTATAGTAATATGAGACTTCTATGGTAAGATCAAAGGGGTCTTTTCAACAAATCGTTCTTAATTTTCAGAACTAGGGAGGAGTAATAAGATGAGAATAAGTCAGAACTAATAAAGATGACCAAGTATTTGGAACCTCTTTCGGATATATGAAAAATAGGCTGTAACACCATATCTTGAGGGACAGTGAAAAGAGAAGAAAAAGCTTTATCTAAATTAATCTTATGAAAGGGCACCAAATTAACATACATTTTAAAAGACAGTTATCCCGAATACTGACCAAATGTATGTAAACCTTTGAAATTGAGGAAAATTAGCAAAAAATGTTAAAAATATTGTCACCAAGTTTTCTGGCATTGAACCAAAAAAAATGTGGTAATTCTAACTGACATAAAACATGAAGGGTTTGGTCAAATTTTACTGTAGACTGAGAGAAAGCCCTAACCCTATTACATTACTACATATTGTGGTGCTATTACATAATGTTTTATGATAAGGTTATCAATTTCTGTATTTTTCAGGATTTGTATAAAATCCCCAATTACAATGGCCTTATCTGTATTCAACACTAAATAATAATAAAAAAAAAATCTGATCCAAATTTGATCCAAAAGATAAGAGTAAGTCCCTGGTGGATAATACACAGCAATAAGCAGAAGTGATTTTGGTACAATTTAGATAAAGAAAACAAAAATTTAGATGTTTAAAATAACTAGCTATTAATAGGCTTGTGATTAATCAGTAAATGTAAATGAAAACGGTTGCTTCTCCACCTCACCTTGTAGCGACTTCAAGGAATGTAAAAATTTTAATAGTTAGAAGAGCTTCAGTCATTGATGCCAACATAATCCTCTTGCAAAACAGACCTAAAACCAAACCTAAATAAAGCCATTAAATAAGATAAGTCTTTGAAGAGAAACGTCTTCTGTTCAAAAAACCACATTTGTTTTATTTTTCTGTTCAACCAGTATTATTTTTGAGATTTTCATGATTTACCCATCATAAGGCACCAGCACCAGGGTACAGCCTGGACAGATTACCATACTATCATTATCAATACCAATATTATATTTATTTTGAATCAATACCAATTATTACTCTATATTATTCCATTACGACCTCATATAACATATGTGGCGATTAATTTTGACAATGTTGGTCACATATTGTCCACATTGATTTATCACTTGATGAAGAAATCATCAAGGTAGTATAATTTTATTCAAATCTGGATAATTTACCAACCTTACCAGCCTCAACCCATCTAGGGTGCCAAGCGACCACATCCACTGTCATGAACTAGTCTGGGGCAAAATGCTTTTGGTAGAATCCTTACCATGGTCTGAAATTCAGTGCAATCTAATTTTATAAAGATTACACACTTTGTTTTTATTTTATGTCACATGAAGATTATTTTAAAGATGATAGTTCTCATGTATTCTATCATTTAAATGATTATGCAAAACTAAGGCAATGTATTTTTATCATTTCTATCACTCTGATGTTGTTTGTCTACTGTGTTTGTGTTAAGCTAGTAAACGTTTGAGCAGTATGGCCAGTGAGTGCACAGAGGAGCTAAAACTGGCTGTGGCCTGGAACCGAATAGACACTGCAAAAGCTGAGCTCTTCAATGGAGACATACAGTGGAAGGTATTTTTTGCTTATATTCTGTTGGAACCCCAGAGTTGTAGTTTGGCTCTAGTTTCAAACACCTTGCTCAGGGGTTCTCAAATGTTATGTTCAGATATCTAAATATCTGATAAGGTACAGATAAGAATTTTATCTGGACCTTATCTGATGAAGACAGAAAACAACGAGAAGTGTGTTAAGAGGCTAATGTTTTCATTTCAGGTTGTACGTATTAAGATGTGTTATTGCGAGGAAATTTCTAGTTAGGTGATCTCTGAGTGTTTGCTCGATGGGTTAAGTGATCCTCTGCCTGAAAATGTTTGAAAAACACTGTTATAAACATTATTGCTTGACTTTTTTTTCACTTTCAGTATGAGGACCTTGAGGACTCCATGACAGATGCTTTGATCAATAATAAGCCCCAGTTTGTGCGTCTCTTCTGTGAGAATGGTCTCAACATCCTGAATTATTTGACAAATAATCGCTTGGAGAGCTTGTATCGCTCACTGTCAGATAGCTTGCTGGCATACATTCTACTCCAGAGGCATCTGAGTGAAAGAAAGACCCTGGCTGGATCTCAGCTCTCTGTGGATGGAGCTGCACCAGGTGCCATGGAGACTTTCCATATGGAAGTAAACACAAGTGCTTCAGCAATGGATCTTAGTTTGTTTGAGGTGAGTTCAACACTTGAGCAGCAAGTAGAAAGTAAAGTAAGGTCAACAAGGAACTCAAACATATTCAATATCCAATCACTAGTTTTGTAAAGCTCTGACCTACTCATATTGATTATAGCCAATTTGTATTCCACATTAAGAAATATAATGTAACAATGTTTTTTTTTACTTTCTGCATTAACTTAAATTTGTTTGTCCTAAAACATAACTGTTATGCTTCAATAAAAGACTGAAGTTCTCTCTCATTTCTACATAATTGAAAATGTGAAAAAACAACAAGATTCTCCAAGGTAGATTTTCTGTCACATACAACAAGCTTTTAATACTGGACAATCCATCTTGTGTGATTTAAAACACACTAATGATTAACTTCTAGTATTTCCCACAGCGACTCAATTCCAAAGCAACTCAATGCTACATGGAGTGTTGTTGGATCCAGAATGCATGCAGAGTCAGAGGCAGGAGATAAAATCAAGATAATTAAATTAATAAATAAATGCAAAACTCTCTGAGGCACCAAGGAATACAGGACTAGAAACAAGCAGGTTAAGCATAAGGCAGAGAGCCCTAAAGCCAGGTATACTAATGAAAAGCAGACTAATGAACATGAGAGGAAGCTGAGGAGAAAGTGAACAATAGGAGAAGCCTGAACACTAATCAAAGAAAGTTCAAAAATAACTTAGCATCTGAATATGAAGGAATGAACTGCAATAGCGAGACCTAGGCTGAAAATAAATTAACAAGAAAATAATTAAAAAAAAACACACACAGACGGACTGCAAAATTCAAACACCCCAGGATAATGACAAGTCAGTGAATCTTCTACCCATCAATACTTTTCAGAGTTTTTTACTTCTACCCTGTTATAGATAAAACTGCCTTCAAGAATGCTGGTAACTAGTAATGTGCGGTTAGGTCTCACCACTGACTTCAGTGGTGTCTATATGAAGTGTCTATATATAAAGTCCAAATTAAGTTTATAAAATATATAAATGTATAAAATCCAAAATAAATCCTTATGTTTTAATTTTGGCCATATTGAAACATTTAGTTATTTTAAAACCATGTCATTGTGCTTTAATAAATTCCATACAGTTCAATTTGTAACATAAGGTCAAATTAGATTTTTAAAATCTAACTGCTCAAGCTCACATAGGCAATGACAGTGGGACCTAGAGGTGTGTGGTTGGGAGGAATGGACTCCCTGATCTGAACCCAACTGGTGTTCTGCTGTTGGACTTCTGTGCCCATCATGGATTGTCCACAACGAACACCATGTTCAGGCTTAGGGGCGTATATATGTGCAATTGGTGCCAGGACACTCTAGGTCGCAGTTTAATGATCGATTTGTCGTTGTTTCATCTGTTCTGTGGCCGTATGTCTTGGACACTCAGGTGAAGAGAGGTGCGGAGCTGTCCACTGACCACTACCTGGTGGTGAGTTGGCTCCGGTGGTGGGGGAGGATGCTGGTCAGACCTAGCAGGCCCAAACGTGTTGTGAGGGTCTGCTGGGAATGTCTGGCAGAGTCCCCTGTGAGACGGAGCTTTAACTTGGAAATGTAGGTATTACTAATTTCGTGCTGTGCTCCACAGCAAAGGGAAAAACCGTTGGAGTACAACTCAAAACCACTTCTTTCTCGCTCTCTGCATCAGCCAACTCACGGACTCGTTGTCAAAGCAACCAACAACAATGCTATTTTATGTCTTATAATTCAACACCAAAAAAACACTTAAATATTTCCCACATAAAGAACAACATTCAGCCTGTTGCAGTAGTATGTTTTTAGGCTTAATATTGTTTTTGATGACTACCAGCAGTCGGCTTAGGTAGTTGCTGAGGCAAAAACTCAGGTGTGGGAGGAGTTTGGAGAGGCCATGGAGAAAGACTTCTGCACGGTTTTGAAGCAATTCCATCCAGCATCTCAGGATGGAAAAGCAGTATAGCACCAGCACTGTTTATACCGGGGATGGTGTGCTGTTGACCTTGACTTAGGACATTGTGGGCCAGTGGGCAGAATACTTTGAAGACCTCCTCAATCCCATCAACATGCTGTAGGGAGTGTTGAGGAAGCAGAGCCTAGCGACTCTTTAATCTCTGGGGGTGAAGTCACCAAGGTGGTCAAAGAGCTCGTCGACGGCAAGATTGGGGTGGATAAGATTCGCCCTGAGTTTCTGAAGGCTCTGGATCCTGCAGGGTTGTGTTGGTTGGTGCAACTCTGCAATATTGCATGGACATCGGGGGCAGTTCCCCTGGATTGGCAGACCGTGGTGGTGGTCCCCCTATTCAAAAAGGGGGACCAGAGAGTGTGATCTAATTTACAGTGGGATCACACTCTTAAGCCTCCCTGGCAAGGTCTATTCAGAGGTTCCAGAGAGGAGGTTCTGTTGGATAGTCAAACCTCGGATTCAGGAAGAGCAGTGTGGTTTTGGTCCTGGTCGTGGAACGCTGGACCAGCTCTACACCCTCAGCAGGGTCCTGGAGGGTGCGTGGGAGTTCACCCAACTGGTCTACATGTGTTTTGTGGACTTGGAGAAGGTATTTGACTGTGTCCCTCTGTGAGCGCTGTGGGAGGTTCTCCAGGAGTATAGGGTACAAGGCTCTTTGATATGGGCTGTTAGGTCTCTGTCCAATGCCAGAGTCTGGTCCCAGGGGTGCCACCAGAAATCTTGGGCCCCATGACAAAAAATTAAATTGGGGCCCCACTGCTGCTACAATTTCTTGCATCTATTTGACCCATAAAAAACCTCAAAATTTAAAGGCTTGCAACTGCCCTGCATTCTTTGGATACTAGCACAATATTTACTGCTAATGAACTTTACATGCAACAGTCCATATGCTGTATGCAAATAGGTTGCTTACATTTTTTTATTAGTTTTAGCTTCCTAAAAGGTCTCTCCCCATGAGCAACAGTCATTGGCAACATACAAAATATAAATAAATGCAGTTGCATTTCATTCAAGCTGCAGTATATAACTTTAATAAAAATATATGTTTTCTCTATATTTGTTAAAGTTGTCACCATGTTGTGACAGCTTATTATGAGACAGAAAATCTGTGAAAAGATCAATCTCTTCCATTTCCTCCCTAAACTACTATTGCTAGCTAAAGTAATGCTACGGTCTGGCCAAAAACAACCAATCAGAACTAGGAGGAGGTCACTCACTGCTGTACTAATGGCGGAGAAACAACTTATCGGTACAGGAAACCCATTTATCTGCCATCATTGGTAACTATGTTAGCTAGACAGAGCATTCACAGCAGGCTGTGCTAGCTGCAGCATAGCACAGAGCAAGTGGGAGGAAAGATGAGCAGCCACATGAGATTGTGATTTACAGCACTAAAACTCTCCTCCTCCTTTTTCTAGATAGCACTGGGAGAAGGCAGAAGAAATGCATTTTTCACAGATTATCTCTCATGTCATACTTTCACAACATGTATATATAACTGGAGAAATACCAGGGCCTCAGAGAGGAACTGGAGAAGGCCTGGAAGGTGAAGACCACAGTGTTGCCTGTGGTCATCGGGGCCCTCGGGGCAGTCACCCCCAAACTGGAGCAGTGGCTCAAACAGATCCCAGGAACAACATCAGACATCTCAGTCCAGAAATGTGCAGTTCTAGGCACAGCCAAGATACTGCGCAGAACCCTCAAGCTCCCAGGCCTCTGGTAGAGGACCCGAGCTCAGAGGACGAAAGAGATGAAAGAGACCACCCGCGGAGGGTGAGAATAAAGTGAATATATTTGGACTCCGATTTGACAGAATCGGAGTCCTGTCAAATACAAAATTAATCATATTGTATTCTCAAAGGTTGTTTTTAACAGTAAAAATTTAATGTTACCCTTCCCAGACCAAGAAACACACATCCGTTTTTGCCCTGAAGCCCCACTAGGTGCGTTAAATGGTTCCTTCCTGCTTGGAGCACTTGAGAGTGACGATGGTCAGCTGCAGTCAGTAGAAGCTGCGGCCACGAACGACTGTGTCAGTTACTATGCTGCTAAGAAAAGTTATAAAATCAGGTTTTCAAAAACAAAATACAGAGAGAGAGAGAGAAAGGCAAGAGTGTTGATTTATAACTTAGTTTTTCTCCGA